CCGGTGTCCTGCAGAGTTTAGCTCCAACCCTAATTAAACACACCTGAACCAGCTAATCAAGCTCTTACTAGGCATAGAAACTTCCAGTCAGGTGTGTTGAGGCAAGTTGGAGCTAAACTCTGCAGGACACCGGCCCAACAAGGATGTTGATCCAGGAACATGTTTTACTTGGTGAAATCACGGTCACCTGAGGTTCCTTTGCATTTATATATATATATATATATATATATATATATATATTTAAAGTATTTACAGCATTTGTCAAAGGATCCTCCTCAGTAAGACCCCTCATTACCATCAAAGAATGTGAACCCTCCAGCAAGTGACCTTTCGGGTAGAGCACCCTTCATAAAACCCTTTCGCTTTTGAGGATCTGAAGCACCCTCAATGCCATTGCGGCCTTTAAAACCACCTGACAGCTGGAGATCAAGAATAGAGGCCACGTTTTTATTTTAATGTACTGCTCGTCTATCACAAACGAGATTCATCTGTTCTTTGAGATGAATTATACACGCCATACCTGTTACGTTCCCTTTGTCTTAATTTAGAATAAGGAACAAAGTAGACAGGGTGTCTCTCTTGTCAGACAAATTGAGAAGGCAAAGATGAAAGATGTTAGATCTGTTTCCATCGCGAGTCTAGTGCTTGATGAATGTGTCTTTAGCTGTTTTCTTTCGCAACCTTATAGGAGAAACTTTACAGATCCCGGACGAGCCCCCATTTAAAATACTTACACATTATTTTCAAGAAAAACAGGATTCACATCAATACCACTGTGTTGATGAAGCTTTCCTAGAAATGTGTGTCCTTCACCATTGATGGCGTTTAAAAACATGAACTAACACTTCTAGTCATTGTTTTTCTAAATCATTCAGAGCTTAAAATTATCCTTTCAGTAATTGTGAGCATTCAATGTTCCCCCAATTCTCCAAACTGTTCAGATCACCTTAAGTACAATGGTTTTTCATCTCCCCGTGAGATGCGACGTTATGTCCTTGAAGTTTCTAATAGGATGCAATGTTGCAGATTACAGATTGTAGTTTTAGTGCAGGCTACATATGAAGATTAAAGAAGATTCGCCTCTGAGGATGCCTCCTGTTAAAACGTACAGATGGTTGTGTCTCCAAACTCTTGTGTTTACTTAAACATGGGCATTAGGATGAATGAGCCTCTTATGCTCTTCAGATACTGCAATGATACCCTACAAAACACAAACTGGAGATAGTTGGGTTTTGTTTCACAGCAGTTTAAGTTCTATCTTTGTGCTATTGAGTTTAAAATTAACATACATCAAACTTGCTATATCTGGGGGCTTCACGTTATTTTGGGGGCATTACTGTGGTCAATTTGGTATTTAGGATTTTTTTTTTTTTTTTTTTTTTTTGTGGTTTGGTTGCGCCTCCTCAGATCTCTTAAAATGTATCAAGAATATGGCTGGGTTATATTTCACTCCAATAATATTGAAGAAATCAAATATATTGTGCTTAATGAAAATGAAGCCTTGATGAGCAATAAGATTTGCATGACATTTAAGCACTCTTGCCCCTAATTCTCATTACCGTAATGAAAAAAACTTTAACATAATTATTTTATCATCATCGCAGTAGTTGCACTGCTGCTTTATGCAGATTTATGTATAAAACAACAAAGGTTTGTATAAAAAAATTCCATTAAAAATTATAATTGGAGAGAAAATGTCTGGACACATTATGGTAATTACAATTTTGTGGAAAAATGTGCTTAATTGCCATGAAAATAATGTAAAATAATGGTCCTGAAAGAGACTTCCTTTTTTATGAAGAATATAGTTAATTTACTTATCATTATTCATTATTTTATAAAATGTATTTTGGAGTGAAAATAGCCTGAAAGCTTCACCAATTACCGAAACATAATACCAAAATTACTCCAGTTTTTGTAGCTTGGTATTGGCATCTATGAGTACTCCTTGCATCGATCATTGGTGAACAAATAAGAAAAAGTTTTTAGCTCAAGAAATCCGTGATTGTTTTCCCGAAGTGAGACTATTCCCATTTTAAAACCAGACAAAAAATGTAGAACATAGTAACAAATGCAGAAACAATTATTGTTTTTCCTCCCATTGTTCTGTCTTCTTCATTTAAGAATATTCAGGCGCCACACGGTAGACAGTGGCAATTCATCATCTCATATGCGTTTGATGCAGCATCGAAAAGCATGTGGCTGCGAACATCAAGCACAGCATCTAGGACTGCACGTGGCAATGCAGCCAGGATTTATTCCCAAGATCTGCTCACAACGTGCTGAAAATCTGGACTGGAGTTCCGTTGGGTCTCAGTTCGACATCTGCACTGAGTGCATCAGCAATACTGTATATATAATGTAGGAGAAGAGGAAGAGTTTACTTTACTGTGGAAAAATGTGATGGGTACAGCTGAATAAAATTTATTCCAATGGATTTGATTGTCGAAATATTGGCTGTGCAAGCCTTTATTAATAAATTACTGAGGTAGAATGCTATTCACCACCTTTGCTCTTAAAGTCCTATGATAATACCAGGGTATTTTGACTTAATTATAACATTTTGTAGATGTGCCACTGTATATGGATATGTAAAATCATGATTTTTGACATTACCATGGTTTATTTTGTTTTATTGTGATATACATGGTGTTATAAGTATACCTTGTAAAAACTGTAGTATCATTTAGTACTATGGTATTAAAGTGAAAATAAAGTGACATGACATGGCCAAGTATGGTGACCCATACTCGGAATTAGTGCTCTGCATTTAACCCATCCTAAGTGCACACACACAGCAGTGAACACACACACACCGTGAACACACACCCGGAGCAGTGGGCAGCCATTTATGCTGTGGCGCCCGGGTAGCAGTTGGGGGTTCGGTGCCTTGCTCAAGGGCACCTCAGTCGTGGTATTGAAGGTGGGAGAGAGCGCTGTACATTCACTCCCCCCACCTACAATCCCTGCCAGTACGAGACTCGAACCCGCAACCTTTGGGTTACAAGTCCGACTCTCTAACCATTAGGCCACAACTTCCCTATTATCATTCTTTTGGATTAACTGAACCATTACCATGATTTTTGTTCAAGTACCATGGTAATACCATGCAACTTAATGCATTGTTTTTCCCTCTGGTTGTGTGTTTTTTTACCAAGTACCATGGTAATATCATGATATTTGTTAATGTACTATGCAAAATCAATTACCATAATATATACCAAAAGTACAAGATAACACCATGCTTTTTGGACATACAGTACCATTTTTCTATATATATGTGAAGTACCATTTAAAAATTATGGTATATGAATGTTTTCATCATTTGGTAACATTTTTTTTTTATCTAACTTCTATGATATCCTTATATCTTTGAATTGTCATCATATGTATTGCCACTGCGGTATTATTGTTTTTAAGGACCGTGGTAATTCCATGGTATTTGTTGATGTACCATGTAAAATCATTTATTTCAATAATATATATAAAGGTACATGGTATCACCATGTCTTTTGGAGTACTGTAATGAACTTTGTGAAGTATCAATGATACCAAGTATCATGGTAATACTATGATATTCTGTGAACTACCTTAAAATTGTCATGTAAATACCATAGATAATTAATATTCTGAATATGAAATGATCATGATATTACCATTACTCTATACCACAGTATTGTCATTAGTTGTCGACGTGCAAAAAGGCAACTTTGCATTATTTGACCATTTCATTTTTTTTAGATTCACTGCTAAAAATAGGATTGCTAGACCTAAAGGGACAAATCATTATGAGTTAGAAATATTCATGAAGTAAATATATGCAAATTCTAATCAGACATGCACTGTGATGGAGAGCTTATCTCAAGGACCACGTAGACAGAAATTACCCAAGTCTGTTGTCAATTTAGAGCAGACGTGATTTAAACCCACATGCGCCACTTCAAGTCAAGGCTGTTTGCTTGCGGAACACATTCTCTGTTCGGGACTTCACCATATGAGCGGGGAACGCCAGTGGAGTTAACTGGTTCAGAGTAATATTCTCTTCCATTTATCCCTTTGATATGTGAATTCTGAAAGACGACTGCCTCCTTTAATCAGTGGTAAATGCTTTAAACTTTCCTTTCCCACTGTTACTTAAGTTTTTTTTT